TTTGCTGAATGCTGTGGACACGTGGGAAAAATCACGTGTCCACAGCATTTGGGTCAGATAGCTGAGGAAGACTGAGTGATTCAGTCGAAAATTTCTGGTGAGTCAAATTTGAGTTGGAGAAAAGTTTTCCTTAATGTAATTTACCAACTCAGATGAACTTTCATGCAAATATTCGACATGGTGACGCACATAATTACACTCTCATCTGTTCAAGTGTTTCTTCGTCGTCGTTACTCGGACGCTTGCAAACGTATGGACGCTTCAGATCACATGGACTCCACGTCCATTGGTCCTTATGCACCCATTCTCTCACCAATTTATCCAAACGTCCGCATTGGCCAGTTACTTTCGTCGGCTGTTAAAAAAACATGTTAACACACAAAAGGGTTATGCACTCAAGCGGTACTCTTTTCTTCTTAGCGTAGTTTTACTTCGAACGACGCTTATTTTCTTTTCTTATCTCTAAAAGCAATGCAACTATCAATAAAATAAACATTTACTCTCTGATGGGGAAGTTAAAAATAAAAATGGAAATTATGAAACCCCAGCAAGTAATCTAACCAGAATGGCAACCAGGCCATATTTTCTTGGCAGGCATTAGCAAATGAAATTTTAATCCACTTACAACATGATTTTGTACATATGACCCATATCTATTAAAAGCTTAAAGCTCTAATAAACTTTCCCATACAAAGCAGGTTTTTCTTTTTTTTAACTTTTACATTGATATGAATACAAAAGAACATGAATTTACACAACTGTACTCATTGAAGGTCAATAAAGCAGCATATAGATGCTACTCAGGGGGGGAGATGATACTATACCATCATCCTTTGCAATACACATTCCACAACACGTGTCCCAGATGGCTGACTGTCAGCACCAGGCACATAGTCTTGTCATATTTCCTTTAAAAGTGCAGCAATGGCAACAATTTTTGGTTCTTTGAATTATCAAAGGACTCAAGTAGTGTATGAGGCTATCTGACTTTTGTAACTTATGTACAACTTCTTACATTGTGTCATAAACATTTATGCAAACATTTGCTTCAAAAATGGTGCTCAACCTTCACCAAACTAAAGTGCTTTTCTACAAACTCTGTTGATTGGTGATATTTTACATCTTGTGCATCAGAAAACCCCAAATGCACCAAAAAGCACCCATGGGAAACAGAAGAAAATATTATATTTGATATTTTTTATGTAATAATCATCAACAAATGCAATTTTCTTCCGTTTCCTGGGAAACATTCTGTGGAATGTGCATTGCAAAGGATGATAGGATAGTATCATCTCCCCCCTGGATGCTACTGTAGGGTAATGGGTCCAGTTGAGCTTGACCACAGACACCAACAGAGAGCTTACTCAGAGTTCTGTCAGATTTGCTCTAGAACCTGTGTATAACCCCGCATACGCCTGCATTTATGGCTTTCGATAAGCAGTTGAAATAACCCCCCTACCCATTCTACTGAGAATCGTATACACTACCAGAATTTTTTTTCTCATTTTGCTTATTTTCTTATGTTGAGAAATATTTTCTTGGGGGATTTTCAAAAAAAATTCAAGAAACATTTTTGAAAGATTTGGTATGTTGATTCTTACACAAAGAATTTTATTCTCCTTTTTCTCAAGGAAAGAAAATATTTCTACTATCATGCTCACCAACAAGAATCTTAAGAATTTTTAGAATTTTAAGAAAATTTACTGTCTTTTTTTCTGCTACAAGAAATCTTTCCTTGTGTACAGAATGGTTTTCTTGCTTCAAGAACAGTTAGCTCTTAGTTCACGAAATATTTTCTTGTGGACAGAATCGTTTTCTTGCTACAGCAAGAAAATCAAGAAACACATGTGTTTCTTGAATTTTCTTGCTACGGGAATTCTTAAATTTCTTGTTCAAAGAATAATTTTCTTGCTATAGGATACATTTTCTTTGTACAAGAAAGAAGAAAGAAAAACAAGAAAAAGCATTTTTGGTAGTGTAGTCGGCAAGGAAGGTCCACATACCTTGGAGTACATAGCGACACAGTCGCAGTTAACCTTCTCATCAAGGAAAAGGCCCAACCAACCATCTAAAAAACGAAACGCAGTGCCTTTTGTATCCATGCCAAATTTTATATAGGTTACTTGTGACCCATCCGACCACCATCGTCTGCCGTCTTTCATGTACAGTCCGATCCAGACATCCGGATTTGACCCTTCAGTTTGTGGAATAAGAGAAATACGAATCTGTTATTCGTCCGAAAACAGAAGGAAACGAAGGTTGAAGTTCATCGGACACTGCTACAGAAGTGGGGATGAAATCATAAACCAGTTAATACTGTGGGAGCCCACACATGGAAAAAGAAGTCGTGGTCGTCCAGCAAGAAACTACATAAATCAATTAATGGACGACACCCAGCTCGACAGGAAAAACCTGATGTTAGTCATGAAGGATAGGAAGAGATGGAGAGCTATCATTGGCACCGAGGGAAGCTCGACCCAGTGAGTGGAGTGAGTGATTCGTCCGAACTGCTAGGTCAGGATAACACTACCATTGTCAACTTCACTTAGTTTCTATGTTTTTTCTCCTATTGCTTTACAATACAATGGATCGGGAGGGATCTGGTTGAAAAGCAGGCTTCTGTTGTTTCAGCTCAGCAAAGTTAAGTTTTACAGTCTGAAAATGCATGGCGACTGAAAACCCTAATACTCCTTTTTTTACTCCATATAATCATCTATTCATGATATCTGATGTATCACAGATTCACTGAATTATTTCTAGCTTTATGTTTTTAGTATATTTCAAATATTTTACATGTTTACGGTGGTAATCATGTAAAATATTTTAAATATATATATTTCGTTAATTTTGCGTCACCCGTGAACATCATGTGTACGTGATTGGCATTACTTTTCAATGATTAAAATATATTTCCCTGGTCAGTGTGTACCGGTGCAATAGCTCAATTGGTAGTCTGTGCTCGCTTTGTAACCGGGAGGTCGTGAGTTCAAATCCCGACCAGGCCATACCAAAGACTTTAAAAATGGTACACACTTCTTTCTCTGCTTAGCACTCAGCATCTATGAGAAAGGGTGTGGGAAGGTCAAACACACAGCACTACAACCGGACCAGCCCCTTGCTGTAGTGCATTGCAGAACTGTGTGTCGCCCAAGGGCTACAGAAATGGATATGGGCACCACCCTACGCTCGGTATAAGAGCATGGGAGACCTTTCTTTTTCCTTTCCTGGTCAGTGTCACATTAACCAACATATATCATTATCTAAAGAACTTTATAGCATGGATTCTTAAACATGTATAACATGCTGTCAATAGTGTATTTCATATTTGTATTGTGTGTTTGATTTGCTATATTGCAAGATGTGCTTGAATTTCACTTGTTAACCAGTTTAGTGACCAGTGATAACAAATACCGTCACTCACCAGTGCGGATAAAGTCTCTAATGAAGTTGTTCTCTTTACAATCTTTGATAGAAGCAAGGTTTGCACCCATTGCTCTACACTGTGAGTCTGCCGTGTCCCAGTCAGCTAATTCTGTCATCAACTTGTAGCAGTGGTTGTTATACTCGGTCCAACCACTCCCACATGTATCAGCTGTAAGAAACAATGATGTGACGTGTGGATTTAAAACAAAAGCAAGCGCTGCCTTTTCAGTGTAAAAAAGGTTTTCTGTGCTGTAATAACAGAACGACTTTGTGCCCGAACTAACATTGTGATATACATGTACATGTAACTAAGAGCTAAACAGCTCAAATGACAACGTTTGTAAATAATGTAAATTTTGACGTGTCATATGAGTGTTCTTTTATGTTATCTGGTAAGTTTTAATTTTGCGCCAACCCTGTAAGACTAGCCATTACGCTAAAGGGTGTATGTCCCAAGAGGATTATAACGACAAGCTTACTCTACGGGATGACTTTGGCTAGACTATAGACTAGTCTATAAATGTTCTATAACGTTCAACTTGGTAAGTGAAACAAAATTATACTTACAATACTGACAGTTCTTTCCAGTCCATCCAGCTGAACAGGTACAGGTGTATCCACCATCTTTGTTCTCACAAGTTCCGTGCTGACAAGGGTTCCTCACACACTCGTCAATATCTGTGCAAAAAATATAATCAAATGCCATCGTGTTAGACAACTTATTATTATATATCAATATATGACTTATTCCTAAAGGTTTTCAAAAAAAAGTGGACAATCTAGAAAGATAATGTCAAAAAATCTTCCTCTAAAAAAAGGTAACATTTGGCATGGTTGACTACACAGAAGAAACTCACCTTGCTGACAGTTCTGTCCAGTCCATCCAGGTGAGCAGGTACAGGTGTACGAGTATCCGCCATCTTTGTTCTCACAAGTTCCGTGCTGGCAAGGGTTCCTAGCACACTTGTCTACTGTGCAAAAGAAGTGATCCAATGTCAAATGTTTCTAGACATCAAAACGCTATTAATCTATACGCTATTCACAGAAATTTCAATAAACAGAGGACCCTTCTGAAAGAAAGTTGTAAAAAAATTTCACAACGTTGATGACTCCACAAAGGATCTCACCTCGTTGAATACACTTCCGTCCAGTCCATCCAGGTGAGCAGTTACAGGTGTATCCACCAGCAGAGTTTGCGCAAGTCCCGTGCCAGCAAGTGTACCTCGCACACTCGTCAACATCTGTGCGAAAATTATATTAAATGTCAACTCTTGCCCTATTAAATATACATCGACATAGTTTAGAGGTCTGGTAGATATCTAAACACCATCAATTTATACTTCATACCCAAAATTTCAATAGGGGGGTCGTGTGGCGTAGCGGCAGAGTGCGCGAATCGGAACTAAAAGTCCCGGGTTCGAGTCCTGACATGCCACCGATCTTGTGCCCTTGGAAAAGGCACTTTACACGGCTTTCCTCACTTAGCTCAGGTGTAAATGAGTATTGTCCTGTCATGTATTTGTCCCCTGTGTTGGTGGCGGCATCAAAAAAAGTTGAAGAAACTTGAGTGTGTCGTCACCACGTCTGGTGATTACATGTTGGAATAAATAAATAAAAAGTTTCAATAAACATCGAACTCCACTGAAAGGTAGTATAAAAATATATTACCTCTAATTCTACTTTCGACATCTTGACTGTGTGTGTT